CTGCATTACAAATTTACACTGAATTACCTGGAATATCCCAGCAGGTCCGTTGCTATTTTGCAGTCAAGACATGAGGGATACCTCTTTAGGAAATAGTCATAGAGCTGGAAATCATCCACTTCTGGAGTAAGCTCCCCAACAAATATTGAATAATCCGGTCTTTAAGAAGATAAAGAACAGTTTTAAAACTTTCAGACCAAAATAGTGATTCCAGTATTAAAACAATTATTATATTACAGCTTGTTGGAACCAGACAAATTAGTCTAGAGCACTTCAGTGCAAAAGACACTGAAATGTACAGAACTGCAATGCCATCACACCAGCATACAGTTCTCTGGTATTGTAGGTCTAACTCTACTGCTTTAGCAACAAGGATCCATTTTCTTTCAGAAATTTGTTTCAAAAATCAACATATTTACTTGGTTTTATTTATATATAGCAGGGGGATGGAACTAGCTGATCTTAAAGGTCCCTTCCAACCCAAAGCATTCTATGATTGCCCAAACAAGAGGCACAGAAATACCCCGACAAATTAGCTCATACTTCAGCCATGGCTGTGACTGTTTTGCCACTGCTTGCCAGTGATCACAGAGTTTTTCAAGTGAGTGATGACATCCAGTGGTCACCATCAACCTCAGCAGATAAAGAGAGCCAGAGCTTTTCATGTCACAAGGGCTTTACCTGACTGTACTGCTGGTAGTAGTAGTAGCACTAACAAACTCTATTCTTCCTGGTTTTATTTTGTTCTTTTTCTTCCGCTTCTTCTGCGGTGTTCTCCACCAGCTGTAGGCCTGGAGACATTCTCGCTTTTTCCCAAGTAAATCCTGTTGGGATAAAAAACACCTCTATAGTATTTAGCCTCATTTACATTCCTCCCTCCCACTCCCCATCACCACAGGTGATTTCCCCATATTCACCTTGCCCTTGAAAGAAGCCTGGGGTCCCATTTCTCCCTCCGCCTCCCATGAGGGAAAGCAGCCTCTGGGGAAAACGCCTGGCAAAAATAACAGAGCCAAAGGATTGTATGAACAGCCACATTCCCCTGACTTGTCAAGCTGGCTAACGGATTGACAGCTTCCTCTTGGAATTCGGAAGAAAGCAGTTAGTCCTTCGATGCTGGTCAATCCTAAATGTTAAGTAGCTCCAGGCCTGGACTGTGCTCCACCTGAGCTCTAAGACTCTCAAAAAAAAATAAAAAGCCCTCAGTGGCATAGTGAGCCAAAAAAATTTATATATCAAACTATCATTCTTGCTCAGAAAGGGATCTCAGCTGTCCCTACTTCTCCTCTCCTAGGAATTCTTCTCTGCATCTATGAGATGCCTCTCCTCACTAGCTAGCAGTGGGCTACTCTCCCAGGCCAGGAACAACAACAGGAGGCCCGTTAATGGAACGTAAGAAGAAAGAAGACCACAAACCAACTTGGCTGAGGGAAAGCGCTAAACCCAGATGCAAGGCCAGGAAGAAAGAGGCATAAAAAGCACCTCAAAAAAACAACAACAAAAAAACTGCAAACCCCAAAAGCCACAGTTTAAAAAATGTGGGGTAACAAAAAAAACAAAAAAACAACACAAAAAAAAAAGCCATATTAACAGGTTGCCTCCCTCATTCAATCTTCTGAAGAACAACTTCCAAAAATAAGAATGGTATTTTTCAGTATCATTTTTAACTTTACTTACGCAGTGTTTAACGTTCTTCCTCTAGAACACCTCTACATAACTTACATAGAGAGTGTTATTTGCAAGATCCTTCAGAAGAACTCATGCTCAAATAATCCAAACTGCAAAGTTTAATGCCATGCTTCCAACCTGTTTCGGTTGTTACAATTAAGCATACACAGGACAGCCACCAGTTACCAGAGGAAATCATGGGACTAGAAGAATACCCCACTCGGAGTGAGCTAGCTATTTCAGCTTTACATTCACCAGGGATTTTGAATGTTCTGGAACCCATTTAGATGCTACAAACCTGAATTTCTCACCAAATGATCTTACCTGGCTCGTCATGGTTGAAAAAAAAAATCTGTCTTCTGCCTTCTTCAAGGGACGCAGATGCAACAGTTCAGTTTATTGCAATCCTTCAGCTGAAAGAAAGTGTGAGGGAGGACCAAGAATCTTAATTCTGAAATCAATTAATTTCAAAGATGTTCACTCTGTCTAACAGTTTTAACATTATTAATTCACAGCTAGGGAATGTAAGTTCTGACTTGTCATTGCTAAAGCAATGGAAATAAAAACGATGTATGACTAAGGGCACTACAATTAGAAGTTGTAGCAGGTCACAGATTTTTCCTGTTGTCCAAAGCACTACAACATTTTATAAACAGCTTTTTAGTTACCTACAGTTTACTCATGTCTAGAAAACACACCAGATCACAATTTACAAGCTCTAAAATAATTAAAAACAAGGCAACAAAATGCAAGCTGTTTTCTACAATATCTCAAGGTTTGCTTCACCCCATTCTCCACCCCCTTTTGAGCCAAATAAGGATTTGTAACTTCCTATTGCACAAAGTCACACAGCTGAAAAGGAGCAGTGATACCTCCTAAGCACTGATGAATAAGAGAGTAAATAAAGAAAGAACAGTAAAGGTAAAATTGATCCAACTGTTCCCTCTCTGAATCTTTTCTTAGTTATATCTTGTCTTTTGTCTCTTCTCAGACTTCCCTACGAATGAATTAGCAACTAAGAGGGACCTTTTCCTACTATTAAAATCCTGGACACCCTTAAGAAGCATACAGCTATTTCCAATTGATAACCTTTCCTGTCCCCCAGAAAACATTTTCATTTACAAAATACAAGGGCTGCTCTAAGAGCAATGCCCCCTATGTTACTATGTAGACCCACAATGCCAGAGGTGGATGTTGTAGTGTGGCAGTAAAGGCTGAACCTTCCCACCAATAGCCCATTCCACGTTGTTGCCATGGGACAGACAGCAGCAGAGGGGCAGCCTGACAAAATGGCATCTGACACGGAAGCGTGTATGAAAAAGGGATGGAATTTAATTCCTCCATGGAGAAAAAACAGCACCCACTGACATTCATCAACAGTTGCTGAACATTAAGGAGACCAAAAGGTAGATGTGAGCACAGTAAATGATGTATTTCAACAGTAGCAACAGGGGGTCACCTCTGCTGGTACAGACTTGCAGGCTCTTGTTCATGGCTACCAAAAGGACACAGCTAATGTTGGTGACTATGTCAAAAAACAGTGCTATTAGGCTTTTTCTGTCAGTTGTAGCTTTTGTGGAAATAAACGGGAGGCATCACTATCAGAGCAACCTATGGATTGTGTGCAAGGGGATAATACATTTCCAATTCACCACTATTTTTCCAATTCACACATTTTTGTTTTTATGTCCAAGGTAACTCTTCTAAGCAGATGCTTGATTGCTGGAATTTAACTCCCATTTCCACATAACGAGTTATGTAACACTCTACAAACTGATTGGTTGGAGTCACGTTCACATAATTACAGAGTATTTGTAATGCCTTACAGGTGTGGCCAAGGAGGTGAACAGTTCAGCACGGTGCTTCTGAAAATGGGTTACGCTATCCTGACACAGGATGGGCATGGTGTCACACAAGGTAGCTATGCACTTCATCTCCATCACCATTTCACACCCAGTTAAGTACAAACAAGTCCTTAAATACAGGGACACACCAGTAAGGTCAGTGTATAACCTGTCACTAAACGTAACTGTGCTAAGGGATGATCATCAGCATATTTTTTCCAATTAAGGAAGTTGTATTAATAAGAATAGCCTTTAGTTCCTTAATTTAAGTTTCTTAACTTCAGTTCCTTATCTTAAACCTTACTTTTATTAAAAAGCTCAAACGCTTAATGCCTTCAGTACTGGAATACTCATCTTTGCATTCCCCAGTGCATGATGCTTTATTTTATTTATTTTCAGAAAACTTACCACTCTTCACTCGTGCAGATTTACCAGGAGATGCCAAACACTACAACACAACTTTACACCAAAAAAAAAAAGTATGAGAGGGCAAACGATGCAACAGCTCTGCGACCACAGTTACTGCAGACTCATGCACAACTGCTCTCGTACTCTTCTCCCATCCGCTCTTCAGTGGTGCCTCTTTTCACTGCAAGTCAAAAACACATTTAAAAACCAATTGAGAGAGCACGCGTGTGACGTGGCGTGTACACCTTCAAGCCCAGCTACGCTCACAGCACCTTTATCCCTTCGGTGGGGCAGGTATAACCTCCGGAACTCAAGCAGTTCCTTCTCTGGCTTACATAGGCTCTCCACATAGGCGAAAAGCCCCCACGGCTTGGCTGCACATTAGCTGTAAATACGCCGCACCGCCGTCTCGGCAGCGCTAGGCCAGGCCGGGCCGCCCCTCCCGGCCTACCATAGAGAGGGACACGGGTGGGTTGTTCGCCGCCGTGCCGCCCCGCGGGCGACAACAGCGCCCCGCCCGGCCAAAGTCCTCCGCCGCAGCAGCCTGGCGCCGGGGCCGCGCTGCCCGTTTCCTGCTGCGCCCCACGGCAATAAAAAGCGCCAAAAAACAGCAACATCACGAGGAAGCCAAGAGTGGGGAGGAAGCGGGGGGAGGCAGGGCGGCCACGGCTGTACCGCTCGGTTCCCCCCGCCGCCACTGGGGTGACGCGGCCTAACGGCCGCGGCCTCCACGCCCCACGGGCCCTGTCGGGGCGGCCCCGATACGCCGAGCTGCGGGAGGCGCCGCTTCTCCCTGCCTGGCGTCGCTCGACCGCTCGCTTCCCGCCTCCCGCGCCCGGCCCTCCCGCCCCCGGCCCGCACTAACGCCTCTCGCCGTCCGCGCCGCCATCGGGAGCCGCGCGCCCCGCGCTTCCGCCCCGCGAGGACCCCTGAGCCGGGCTACCCGGCGAGGACCCCTGAGCCGGGCTGCCCCGCAGCGCGCCTGACTCCGCGGCGCTGCGCCTTTCCCCACCGCCCCTCAAAGCGCCGCCGCCCCCCGGCAGGCACCGCCGAGGACGGGCCGAGAGCCGGCGACGGGGCGCAGCGGGGCGACCACGCCGATGGAGCTGGTGGCCGGCTGCTACGAGCAGGTCCTCTTCGGCTTCGCTGCGCGGCCCGGACAGGTAACGCGGCACAAGGAAGGAAGGGGAGGCGAAGCACGCGCGGAGGCCCAGCGGCCACCACCCACCTGAGGCAGCCCTGCTGCTCCTCGTCGTCGTCGCTGCCGCTCTCGCTCGGGCCGTGGCCGCGGGGCCGCCTCGGGGTGGGCTTTTAAAGCTCGGCGGGGGCGGGGCGGCCGCCCGCAAGCACGGGCTCGGCCCACGGCGCGTGGGAGCGGCGGGTCCTTCGCGACTCGTTGCCCTGTTGCCTTCCTGTCGGCCTCGTCGCACCGGGAGCCGCCACGTGATCCCCGAGGACCGGCGCCAGGCGGGAGGCGTGCGGGTGTCAGGGGGGGAGAACGGGCAGTCGGGCCGCCAAAGTCCTCTGCTGATAACTGCGTGCGGGTCCTGCGTGCGCACAGCCGCGTCTGAAAGCGGGGCTGATTATAACAGGTGGTCTGGGCGCTGAGATCGCCCTGTCTGGTCTTGTAACAGCACGTTAACTCGATGCTGCTCCATCATCCTTGTAGCTAAGTGTGATTTCTTTGCGTTTTACACGTCGGCTTTTTCAGATTTTGTGAACTCTTATCTTGGTCACTTCTTGGCTGATGAAGCCGTGAGGATCTGCTCTTCAGAAAGACCCCTTCGTTTTGTTTCCTTCACAGCCCTGGACGGTTACCCCTGATTTTACCCACCATGCCCACACTGCTTCTCTGTCGGCCGTAGCAGTGAACAGCAAGTATGTGGTCACAGGGAGCAGGGATGAGTCGATCCAGATCTATGACATGAGGAAGAAGGTGGAGCATGGGGCACTGCTGCAGCACAATGGTATGCATCAGGGATAGAAACTCAGAGCTCAGTTTCTGAATATTTGTTCATTACCAGAAAAAGAAAATTCAGATTGTTCTGCTTTTCATAAGGCTGTAGTCTTCAATAGTGGTGGTGTTTCAGCCACCGTGGTCTGATGATACAAACAAGGCAAGCTTTTGAGCGTGAAAATCCAAAAATTGTTTTAGGTGTCAGACCACAAATACATCTGCTGCTTCCAAATGTTTTTAGTTTTACCCATTTCAGAATTTATGGCCCGGAAATGACGTTAAGAATGATTTTTGTTCTACCAGGACAGTTTCTCCAGACCATGCCTGCTCCAAACAGCCATCTTTCTCAGTGTCCTTGTGCCATCATCCACCCAAAAGAGATGGTTTGTGTGTAAGGACAGGCTACTGCTGCCAGGAAGATTGCCTTGTGCCTTAAAATCATAGAATCACAAGGTTGGAAAGGACCTACAAGATCATGTAGTCCTCCCATCACCACCGCTACCACAAGCACTAAACCACATCTCGTAGCTCCTCATCCAGGCACCTCTTGAACACTGCCAAGGACAGCGACTCCACACCTCCCTGGGCAGCCATTCCAGTGCCTGACCATTCTGAGAGAAAAAGTTTTTCCTTATGTCTAACCTAAACCTCCTCTGGTACAACTTGTGGCCATTTCCTCGGCTTCTGTTTGGTGCCTGGGAGAAGAGGCCTCGTCACATCCTCCTTATCACCTTGCCTGATTTGTGTGCTTCCCAAATTACAGTTGTCAAAAAGACAGTTGATATTAGTCCATATAAATGTGTTCAGGTCACCTGGGGCTCAATCCCAGTTGTCCTTTTTCTTCTGATAGTCTAGAAGTACAATGGAGCTAAATTCACCGTGGTACCTGTGTTCAACTTATGTACAGTAAACAGGGTGCTTCTGTTACAGTTGAAGCTGGCTGGGAGCTCAGCACCACACAGCCATTTGCTCACCATCCCCACCAGTGGGATGGAGGAGAGAAAAAAGGAAAAAAAGAACCCAAAAACTATTTGCTAAGACAGAGAAAAAGGAAATAGTGATGATGATAATTATGTTTGTACGGAACAAGTGATGCACAATGCAGTTGCTCACCACTAGTTCCCAGCCAGTCCCTGAGTAGCAGCTGCACCCCCCCAGCCAATTTCCCCCAGTTTTATAGTTTGTTCACATGATGACATATGGTGTGGGATATCCCTTTGGCCAGTTTAGGTCAGCTGTCCTGGTTCTGTCCACTCCTAGTTCCTTGTCCCCCCCCAGCCCATCACTCGCAGGGCAGTACGAGAAGCTGATAAACTGAAATGTCCTTGTCTCTGTGCAGCACTGCTCAGCAACAACTGAAACGTCTGTGTTATCAGTGTTGCTTTTCTCCTAGAGCCAGAACGCAGCGTCATATCGGGCTCTATAAAGAAAATGAACTCTGTCCCACCTGAAACCAGGACAGTGGTAAATTCAGCTGAGTGCCAAGAGCAAGGCTTTGATGTAAGAACACTGCTTATCACTGGTAGAACCTGTGTGTCACCTGCGCCGTGCTGGCCAAGTGCTGCTATGGCAGAGAGCAGATCAGACATTTCAGACATGTAGGACTGTAGAGGAACTAACAGAGCACATCAACAAATGTAACAGGAATGTCTGTAGCTAGTTTCAATGCTAGAAGCACCTCTGTTAGCTAATATGTTCTCTGTGTGGTAACTGTTCAGTATGTACAAGATTGTTGATAGCTCTGGCTTGAATTTCTAGGCACAATAACTTGTCTGGAGTTCTATGGTACTGCACATCTACTGAGTGGGGCTGAGGATGGACTAATTTGTATCTGGAATACAAAGAGATGGGAATGCCTGAAATCCATTAAGGCGCATAAGTGAGTTTCTTAAATCTGCATATTCGGATGAGTTTCCATGATTATTTTCCTTGTAAATAATATATGTGGCTAACACTTTGTTTTGTTTTTATTAGAGGGCATGTGACATCTCTTTCTATTCATCCATCCGGGAAATTAGCTTTGTCAGTAGGAACAGATAAAACATTAAGGTGAGTCCAAACTAATGAAGAAGAGCTCCGAATTATAGTTCAGTAATTTAGTAAATTCTGCTATAAGCAACAATTCCTTGTTGTGACTAGACTGTGTGAGACTGATGAAGCATATCTTCACATGAAATCATTTGTTTGTCTTTTAAAGTTCTAAGTACAAGTAATATTATCAAGTCTTTTTAAAATAGTGTTTTCTATTTCTAGCTTCATCCCTGGAGGCATTCAAGGCCAGGCTGGATGTGGCTCTGGGCAGCCTGGTCTGCTGGTTGGTGACCCTGCACACAGCAGGGGGTTGGAACTCGATGAGCACTGTGGTCCTTTTCAGCCCAGGCCACTCTATGATTCTATGATTCTTCTTGCTGAATTCTAACTCTTTTTAGTCACTTGTAGATGTGTGCATTTGCGTTCTGGAATAAAAATTAAAGCCATCGAGTTTTATTCCGTGTTAGAAAAGTAAATTTACTCTTGGAGTGTATATGAGTTGCTACAGATATGTACAAGTATTTTAAGCATGCTGTGTTATCAAGACAAATTGGTATTTGGCTTCCTTTTGTGCTCTGCATTGCAAACTGATTTAAAAAATGAATATCACAGATTCAGCCTTGCAGTGTACAAGCAATGTATTAAGTCATCAATTTCTCCTGCATTAAGGAAAGCACTGAAAGATAGAGAGATGCTTAAAAGCTTCCTTCAGATGTGAGCTGACAGGGCTTCTGTCTTAAACTGTGCCGTTTAACCAGAATGCACGTTATCTGTTGTTGTCTTTCAGAACTTGGAATCTTGTAGAAGGACGATCAGCCTTTATCAAAAACCTGAAGCAAAGTGAGTTTATCAGTCTAAATCCATTAATAAGTGGAATTAGACAGTTGGGGTTTTTTTTGTTTTCTTTTTCTAGAAGGAAAGGCAGACTGTGTTAAATCCACAAGTCAGTTAATTGTGAGCTATTTTCACCATGTATTTTACACATGCTGGAAAGTACGTGTCCTTGAATTGTAGTCATTTACCAAAAGGAAAACATAGTGACAGTAAAAATCCTTTTTTCCTCCCTTGAAGTTTGATATCAGGACATTTAAATAAGTATGGTTTTTTTTCCTTCCTTTATGCACTTCTGTTAATCAGAAATGAACATTTAAGAGCATACATTTACTAGATTTTTTTTTTCTCTGAATTTTTCTCTGCTTCACCTAGAACATAGGAGGTAGCCACTAGAAGGATGTTCACTTTTAGTGTCTCATGCGTTTCAGAATACAAAAAACTGTGTATTTGTATCTAAGAATGTTCCTCTGTCTACAGATGCCCACATAATTAAGTGGTCCCCTGATGGAGAGAAATATGTGACTGTGATAACAAATAAAGTGGATATCTACAAACTCGATACAGCTTCAATCACTGGCACTATCACAATAGAGAAAAGAATTTCTTCCATTAGATTTATTACAGTAAGTACAAAAGAAAAGCTGGGAAGCTAACTGCTTTGAAACATGAATTTAATCACACTTGCATTTCTTTTTTCCCATTTCAAGGATTCTGTCCTTGCCATAGCTGGAGATGATGAAATTATAAGGTTCTACAGCTGTGACTCTCAAAAATGTCTGTGTGAATTTAAAGCTCATGAAAACAGGTATCTTATATTTGTGTACTACTTCAATATTTATGGCAGTGCTGAGTACTCAGTATACAAAGTTGCAGTGTTCACACATTTTACTACTGTTCTTGTATTTGTATAGAAAGTAAATTTACTCAATGTGCTAAATTCCAAGTTTGGAACAGACTTGTTTGCTTTTGGCATAAGCAGAAGTACTGTGCTATCCTTGCATGCTACAAAAACAGCTGGGTTTAGAATTAGGAATATTACAGTTCTAACCTTAGCAATTTAAGTACTGTGTAAAATATTAAGGTCTTAAGTTCCAGATCAGTATAGATCATGTCTAAATATATGTCTTAAATATAGGACCTACATTTACTGGTGTGCCTGTGCGTTAATACTTTTTTTCACCAGGAAGGTCTTCCTCTCTTTTCCCTCCTCAAAGCTTTGTTGTGTCTGAACTGATACATCTCTAATAGTTGTAATACCAAAAACCTTCCATGGGGCCACTGGGTTCTGTAGTTCTTCTCAGCCAATGAGATGAAAATTGCTCAACAGGGTTTCCACTGCCAAACTGGATTATACTGGACAGGCACATTTGAAAGGAGACATCTTGTGATGTCTGACTCTCACAGTCGGGTCTGTCCTTATGACAGCTGCACCCTTGGCAGTTGTGAATTACCCAGCAGGTTGGTGGGGAGCTGCTCAAGGGTGCCTGGTTCCTCTGAATGTCTGCTCACCCTGGTGTCTTTGCAGTGGAAAGCTGCTAAGTGGGGAGATCAAACCACAAAAGGTTCTACCAAATTAGTGGATTTGATATCAAATGCATGCCATATATATGTAACATTTTTATATATGTATATGAAACGTGCTTACATATATATGTGTACAGTTTTTCTCAGTGTATTTCATGTATTTCTGAAAGTGGGCACTGGTATTTGGCAAGTAGGCAAGGCTGTCTAAAGAACGTTCAGCCTTTACAGTTTCTAATTGTTTAGGATACTTACATAAAACATAACAGTTGTATTCATTCCAGACAGTAGGATATTCTCTGTTGTATACATTTATTTATGTATGTGTGAGATGTCGTGTATTTATTTATGTATTTTTCCCAGTTCTGATTTTAATTATTTTAATTAATCACAACAGGAAAACTTTAACTACTGTGCCCCTGATGCAGACAATAGTGTGTACTTAAAGGTACTGACACATTCTGAACTGAATCCTATCTGCCTAGCAAGGACATGTATTCCTACTGTAAATGGCAGCACTCAAAATAGGTCATCTTTCCAAGTTACTGCCTGTCCTTTGTGGGTTTTTTCACTGTTCAAACTGACTCCTGTGCTGTTGCCTGTGCAGCTTTAATTGCTGTCAGCTTACTGTTCTGAAGGGATCTGCCGTGTTACGCAGTAACCAAGTATAACATTTTCTTCACAGAATAAAAGATATCTATAGTTTTGAAAGGGAAGGACAACATGTTATTGTTACTGCATCCAGTGATGGTTACATTAAAGTGTGGAATCTGGATCTTAATAAGGTGGGTCTGTTGAACTGCTCAACTTACGGAAAAGCATCAGTCAGAATTGTGGAGTGTTTTGTTGTAATAATCAATTTTAAAGCACTGGTGGAATTTTATTTGTAATCTGCATGTCTTGATCCCTCTCCCCATTACGTTCAGTGCACATAGATATGTGCATAATTTATGCACCTGTATATTTTGGCATCTTTTCTTTTAACAAGCTATAAAATCAGATTATGAAGCTCTCTTTTATACATGAAATCATGCTTCTCTTCAAATATAGCTGGCAAAATTTACCACTGTCCAAACAGTTAGGTATGTTACAATGACTGCAGTGAAGTTGTGTAGTGCTGTTGGCTTTTGCTAACCATTTAAAGGTGCAAAAAACTGTTGTGCAGAAAAACTCAGATCACAGAATCATATAGAATTGCTCAGGTTGGAAAAGACCTTAAATCACCAAGTCCATTACTATTCTGTGTACATTTATTTCATGTATTTCCCAACAATTCTGAGTAGCACGATTTAACAAGGAATTGTGCCTTATCTTTCAAGTTCCCCCTCTTTACTGTTTTGTTCTGGGACTTGCCTTGTAAAATCAGAATTAGATTTTTTATTTGGTGCCCAATAATAAGGGCTCTTCTGTATTCTGCTATAAATATCTTAACATTGAAATAAATCTCACTTTGTATTTCTATTCTGAATTCATACACTTTAATTTCAGCCCTCGTGACGGTTTTTATATTCTTTTAAGTGCAGTAGTGAGAATCCTTTTTTCTCCTTTGTCTGAAATCCCAGGTCTGCTTTTGCATGATTGAAATAGTGATCAAGGAACTCTTTAACTTCCTCTGTAACGTTGTCTTTACTTTGACCAAGCGTGTGATGTATTTTCTTTCTTCTTACTGCAGACAAATCTTTGTGAACCCCTGCATAACTGTGTGGGTTGCTCTGCCCAGCTCTGAGGGGCACAATACCTTTTCTAGAAGTAGTTTCTAGAGGATCAGTGCTGCTGTTTTGCACGTGTGTTTGTGACACATTACCCTTGATACCTGTAGTAGGATTTTGCTCAACAGTTGCAGAGCTGAGCACACAGATGCAGTTAAGCAATTTGAAACACACCACGTAAGGATTATTTTCAATCAGCAGCCATGTTTTTGTGAGGGACAAAAAGAACCTGGTGCAGTAACTTAACTCAAATTATTTTAACTCTACTGGAAACGCCTTGTAATCTGGATAAACTTCTGAAAACATTCACTTTTTTCTGTGGGCCTGTGACTCGTCTGCTTATTCATCATGTCAGACCACCTCTGCATGGTAAAGCATGCTGATGTCACTTAGCAAGATGTGCACTGGCAGCTCTTGGGAGTTTTTTTATAAAAAGCACCACTGAGGAATGGTAGCAGAAACAGGGCTGTAACTGTGCCTATTAACCTGTGTGCAGCCTCTGCTTCTTAACATTGTTAGGCACCCTACCATTTTTAGGAGGAGGTTTTTCACTCAGAGGGTGGTGAAGCACTGGAACAGGTTGCCCAAGGAGGCTGTGGATGCCCCATCCCTGGAGGCATTCAAGGCCAGGCTGGATGTGGCTCTGGGCAGCCTGGTCTGCTGGTTGGTGACCCTGCACATAGCAGGGGGGTTGAAGCTAGATGATCATTGTGGTCCTTTTCAATCCAGGCCATTCTATGATTCTGTGATTCTCCAGAAAAGAAGTGGGAACTGGGCCATACAATTCTTCCTCCGTTTAGATAGTTTAGTAAATTTTTAAATAGAAGGGATGTTTAATTAATTTCCTTTTTCCATATTCAGATTAAAAACGTGCCATCTTTATTATGTGAAGTCAGCACCAAAGCTAGGCTGACGTGCCTTGCAGTGTGGCTTGACCAAGCTTCAGAAATGAAAGAAAATTGTGAAAAAACTGCAACATCAACTCAAGGTAATAAAATTATCTGTATTTTCAGTTGTTAACGTGACTGTGAAATGTAAGATAGTGAATGGGACGTTTTGACTGTATGCTTTTGTAGTTTAAGGAACTGGGGATGTGGCAAGTTGCATAGATATCTACATCTACTTAATAGTCTCAGGCCTGCACTTAATAAAGCCACAACTATGGAAACTGTGAGCAGATGCACACAGAAACTGAGTGATGATTTGGAACTGAGGGAAATGGTTCTTCTGTTTGTGGAAACTTAATTTGTGATACATTGCATTGTAATGAGAGGACATCTTTTCACTTCTATGATATGAAAGCTTTGTTTCTCTTTAGTGGAATAACTGAACTCTGAAGCTTTCAGGACAGATAACAAAGGAATGAACAGTCTGATAGAACGGAATGTTCCTGTACTGCTATGAACTTAGATCTGATGCCAGTGCAGTTGGGCAAAGTCTGGCCCAGGGGTTGGTTGGTTGGTTGGTTGGTTGGTGGCAGGAGTTGTTGATTTTTTTTGCTGCTGTTGTTTTCCTGTATACTGAATTACTTCCATATTTGCTCTTTTGGGATTTTCTTAATAAAAAGTAGCATAGATGACACACTCTGCTGTAAATCAGTTATGGCTTAAATTCCTCCTTTTTTAATGGGAGATACAAATAAGCCTCTGTAACGTTTTAGACTACAGACTGGAAATAAATGTCAGAGTGAATAATTTCTTGCTTTTTTCAGCAAATGAAGATGAGAAGCCATCAGTAGACAAGAAGAAAGTCTGTGGGACGAATAAAAGTGGTAAACTGACAAAACAACACAGACAAATTGCTCCAGCTAAGCGAAAATTGGAAGCTCCACTGCAAAAGAAGAAAAAGAAGCCGAATAGCTCAGAATGAAGGCGAATGCTTTTTCTCCTGAATAAGAAGTAAATGCTGGTGTTGCTGTAGTTTTTACAAGGATGTTTTAAAACTTCTTGTCGGGACAAACACCTCTGAACTGATACGGTTTTCAAGAGTAATTATTTTTTACCCAGCTGAATTGGCTGATCATTCTGAGAAATAGTAAAAGGGATGGCAACTTTACCTGAGAGAATGAGGCTGAAATAAACTCACAGTACGTAATGCTTGTATTTTTGTATTTACAGCAGCATACACTTTTTAACAGATTCTGAAATAGGCAGCTAAAATGATAAACATAGCTACATCTGTCTCAGTTAAATTTTTGTGTCTCAGCTAAATGCCTATTAAAGTTATATTCTTTACTCATAAGTCATTCTTATGTTGAAAATTCTCTGTTCAGACCACTGAAAATATAATCTGCCTTTGTTTCTCATGACTTCTACTTTAAGAAGGAATATATTCAAATTATTTACAATATTAGCACTTTTCATTCGTACATTCACAAAAAACTGCTTTTTAGTTCTTAACCCAGAGTTATGCAGAGATTTTATGAACAGAATATTTGCTTTTTTACTCTATATTCTATGCGTTTAATTTTTTCTTTAAGTCTCCCTATGAGCACCCTATATAAAGTCTAGGTCCCCCCTTTTTATAGGAGTTTCCTGACTCAGTGAAACACTGTAAGAGTGTTTATTAAAAGTTTACATTGTATACTTTCAAGAACTTCCAAAATTCCAGTGTGAATGAAACATGGATAGATTGGCTTTGGGGGTTCACATGATTGAAATCCTTTGTTCAGAGTACAGCATGTATGTTTACATGGAAGAGTTAATAGGGTTTTACTGTCTCTTCTCCATACCATATTTTTTCATGTCCTTGATCTGAATCATGTTGTTTAAAAAAAAAAAAAATCTAACATTTGAAACGTTTGTCACCTTGATAAAATGTCAGCCATCTGACAGTGCATTCTCAGCATTCTCAGTCAGCAAGAACAGAATTTTGTCCTAAGTCTTATTTCAGTTACACAGTGGGAAAAACAAAGTGTAGTATTTGACCTTGTCCAGCTCAAAGTTCTCTTTGTTCTTTTAAATGAAGGGATTCTAATGTTTTGTTTTCCTATACTATAGTCATTATTTATACTGTTTTCATAAGGTAACTGGAATTAGGCTTTATCCTTACTCAGTTTAATAACAATATGCTCTTCCATATCAGTGTCACCAGAGAAAAGGTACAGGGAAAAAAACAGGAAGAAGAGTGAGCCCAGTCTGGAACCAGAAATGCAGCCTCCTGCCTTAGGCTTGTAAAATAAGGTACAACTCCAGCCTAGCTCTGAGAATGCTCAGATATTGAAACAGAGCATCTGAGATGTTATGAGATTGCTCATGTGCCAATAGCAATCTTCTCTTGAAGGCAGATGTCTGTGTTTCTCCTTTGCAACTGTTCCCTTTATTTAGATGAGTTATGAGAACACCACGTCTGAATAGGCAGTGTACTCCGTTTAAATGAGCCCAGCAATAAAGGGTTGTTTTTAACTTAAATAGGCTCCTACAGCTAACACAGAACTTACATTTTTCTCTCACTGAAGTTTATACTTCATGAAGTACAAGAGATTTAAAATTTTTGCCTTATGTCTGTCCTTAGCAAAATGGCTGTCACTAGTAGAGCAATTTCCACTGAAATTTCAAATACATGAGCCCATGGCCATGAGCATCACTGCTATTGAAGCCAGGTGTCACGAGCACCAGCAAAAACCCAGTCTGCACATCATTTTAAGAATGAAAAAGCAAAAATTCCATGGATCTTTGGGTCGGAGCTTTAAGCTTACAAGTCAAATTGCACATTTGTAAAAATCCAAACTCCCTTGGTACTAACATCAGATTCAGAACAATTTGTGAACAGGAGACTGAGAAATCCAGTGCAAACAGCTTCTAAGATGAAATGCAAAAAGTCTTGGAAGCAAGTCTTGTTTCATATACCTTGAGTGCATGTTTGGCCACCAACCAGCGCTTGGCAGCGCTGCAATTTGTTCTCTGGTGCACGCTGTCCCTTTCAGAATGTTTTCCATTCTGGTTTTCAGAGAACTAGCTAGAACAACAGAAGGCAGCAGCAGAGAAAAAGAATCACAGAATGGGTAAGGTTGGAAAAGACAACTGAGATCATTAAGACCGACTGCCAACCCATCCCCACCATGCCCAGTAACCATGTCCTTCAGTGTCACATCCACACAACTCTTGACCACCTCCCTGGGCAGCCCATTCCAGCGCCTCACCACTCAGAGGAGAAGAAATCTTTCCTAACACCCAACCTGAACCTGCCTTGGTGCAACTTGAGGCCGTTCCCTCTCCCCTATCGGTGTCACCTGGGAGAGGCTGACCCAAAGCGGTACCAGAAATGAAAAAGCTCATCCTGCCTTAAGAACAGCGAGATGGGTGGCAGTGGTAAAACGCCACAAGAACCCCGAAGCAAACCAGGAGCAGCAGCTTGGGGGCCTTCTCAGCACCCCAGGCGCTTTACTTGCAACTCTAGCCGAATGAGAAGACATGGACCATTCCCACCCATCAACACGGGCGGGCTCTTTTGTCGCTTCTCCCTCGAATCGGACGGAACGGGGCGGCTCCGCGCTCCGACTCCCTCTCGCCTCCCCTTCCGCAAGGCGCCCCGCTCCGCCCCGCTGCAGGCCGGTAGGTGGGCACGGCCGGGTTCCGCTCCTGCCTACGGCCAGCCCCATAGCCGGCCCCATAGCCGGCCCCACGGCTGCTTTCCCAGCTCATCCTGCGTGTCACTTCTTGGCTTGGGGTTCGGGCAGGTCCTCCCGCGGCAAACAAATATCCTTGTTATTATCTGCCTCCCCCCCCAACCGCGTTTAGAACGACTCCCCCCTCCCCCCAGTTTATTTTCCGGTTTTCAGCATGGCCGTGGATTGGATCGGGTTCGGCTACGCCGCTCTGGTGACATCGGGAGGGCTCATTGGCTACGCTAAAGCAGGTACGGTGCTGGAAGCGCCTTCCGACCCTCTTCCCTGCTTGTTCCGACAGCCCCCCACCTCGCGGTCCCGAGGGGGAGAAGCGAGAGGCTGTGCCGGGCGCTGATAGCGGGGCTCGGGGCGCGGTGCCGCAGGAAGAGCTGCTGCTGGGCCCGATAAGCCGCAGTCCGCCTCCTGCGGAGCGCCGATAGCCCGGTTCGGCGTTGGGCGGTGCGGCTGCACTGGCGTAGCTCGCTTCAGAAATGCTCTTCTGTTGTTAAGCTCGGTCCTTTCCCGGACTCGCCGTCACGTGCTGAGTTGCCACCCTGTTGCTTTCGCTTCCCCCACTTTGCCCTACTCTGGGCATAGGTGTGGATTCATCCCTCCTGAAACTCTTTGTATTTGGAAAGTCCTTTTACATAATATTTGCAATACGAAGGTGTATGAGTTCATTATGGAAGACACCAAGAAGCATCCCAGTAGATACGGCTACACAGGTGTTCATGCCCACTCCAGCCTGCTTTCTGCTGACTTGCTTTTTCCTTTGGGCTGCAAGTGGAGTTCAGAGCGGGAGAGACAACAGAATGATAGAATTGCTCAGGTTGGAAAAGACCTTAGAGATCCTTGAGTCCAACCACAACTTAGCCATACTATCCTGACTCTAACAACCCTCTGCTAAATCGTGTCCCTGAGCACCACATCCAAATGGTTTTGAAACACACCCAGGAATGGTGACTCAAGCACCTCCCTGGGGAGCCTCTTCCAGTGCTTCACAACCCTTGCTGTAAGAAGTGTTTCCTCATACCCAACCTAAACTTCCCCTGGCACAAATACTGAGAACTTCAGTAACTAATTTCTTCAGCATTACTCTGAGGCCATGATGGTGTGGGAGATGTCTGACTGGGCAGGGAGGACGTGGCTGTGGGAATTCAGATCATGAACAGTAAGTCCTGAACTCTCCATTTGCCTGACTGAAAGCATTCACCCCCCAGTGGTCTTGTCACTTCACTGCTCAATGAACAAATTACCAGTGTTGTGTAGCTCAGGATTATCACTTGTGCTGAGAACTTGATCCCTTGATCGAAGTGAGCCCAGGGTGTTTGACTCCTTTCTACTTTGGAAACTTCTCATTTGTGTAAATCCCTCCCACCTCGTTCAGTTCTCACCTCTTTTTTCTGATCTTAAACATGCACTGCTTTGCAAGAAATTCTGGAATCGTTGCATTGAAACAAAGTACTTTTGTCTGCAAAAAGAAAACATCAATTCTTTCACTTTTCTCATTGGTCTTTCTGCCATAAATATATTCATGACTTAAGGATTTAAATACTAATGCTGTTTGTATCTCGTGCAAGAGTATCTGATACAATTCTTGGTTCAGGTCAGCATGGCCTTAAAATCTTATAAGACACCCCCCTTTCCCTCCCCCATTTCTCTGTTTCACAACAATGAATGTCCACATTTTTTGTTATTTATAGTGTTTTACAAAACAAGTAATGAGTTTGTTCTTGAGCTTCCAATAAATGTGTTGTCTTTTCTTGATTCAGGCAGTGTTCCATCGCTGGCTGCTGGGCTGCTCTTTGGAAGTCTGGCTGGACTGGGTGCCTATCAGCTCTCCCAGAATCCAAGCAATGTTTGGATTTCTCTGAGTAAGTCTTTTAGCATTTTATTTACAAAGGAGTATATTTACCCTAAAACATCTGGATACTAAAGATGAACACCTACAGGTTTTTGCTGAGGAATTAAACTGATAGTACTATAAATTTAGTTTAAAACAGAACTTTAACCTTACGTTCAGTGAAAATCTCTAATAGTGGCCAATCTGCACTGTTCTCTCTGGAACACGAGCTGTCTGCATTGCTTAGATTTTAAGCTGCTACATCTCAGATGCTTGTGGGAGTGCATTGTTGGTGTAATTCTCTTGCCAGTCTTTGTGTTAGCTGTATCTTCTCTCCGTTCCTGATCTGCAGAAGACACTGTTCCCACAGCATGTGACTGTTCTCTGGTGCCAGCCATGGTGCAGTTCCCCTGGACTGGCTGAACTGGTGATGCCACCATGCACCTGTCTGACACTGGGGTATTTGGAAGATCACAGTGAAAGGAAAATTCTAGTAAATTGATGTCTAACCTCTGTGTGTCCTCTTTTTGCCTGGATCCAATGTTCAGCAGCCAGCATGAGTCTGGAGCACTTCAGGAGGAGAGATTTCCCTGCAGGCTGCCTGTGCCCCCAGCAGGTTATTTTCTTAGTGCTGAAAATAGCAGAGATTGTAATTGGCTTATTTTTATGTTTGACGGATGTGTGCACGGTTCTGGAGGTTTAACAGAAGCAAGGTTCAGGAGTTCTACTTCTTCTTCCTCCTTCTCAGAACTGGGGCTCCCCTTTGAGAAGCCAACAAGCCAAGGATCACTGCTTACTTCATGCTTAAAGGGGTGCCACTGACAGAGCATTCGTTCGCTGAGGCTGTGCCATAGCACCTCACCCTTTTTCATACATATGGAAGTTGGAAGTGAAAGGAGAGGGCTCAGCATTTCTCTGTATTAGCGTTGTCTGTGGTGCAGCTCACTTCCATTTCCCCAGCTACTAGATAGGTCAGAGGCTGTGCACAGTCACGCCTCATCGAGTGGCATCAGCTGTGAGCACAGCCAGATGAACTGGACTGAGACCAAGTATTTTCCCAAATGTCAGTGACAGTCAGATACTTTTTCCCTAGTTCAGTAACACACAGAGGCTTTTTTATTCTCCTTTTCACGCTTTGAGGTTTTTGGAGAAGGTATGTTTTGGACGAAAATGCATTTAGTTTGGTGTGCACATTCTGAATACTGGCTATTGATCAGAGCTGGAGGCATTTGAATATTGAAATACTTTTCTTCTTGTTGGATTGTGGTCCCAATCTTTTATGTGTGTAATTACACGAGACTGTTAGATATCAGTGACAATATTTAGAGTGGCATTCTTCCTCCCTCTTAGGGGAGGAAGAATGCCATGACTAGGGCTGAGAATGAGCTGGGCCTTGCCAGCCCAGCTATCACACAGAAGCAGTGCAACCAGATAACATGTTGTTCCAAGCACATTGTTACATGCAGCTGTTACCCGTGGATAGCAGCTCCATGCTAAGCATTTCATCGGCACCATTTCCATGTAGTTTTCTTTGGAATTTCTTCAAGACCCGATGTTCTAGAGATTGCCCTTTCTATTTTACTATCTGGGTGAAACTCGTTCACTTTTCTCAGTGTCAGGTGGTCAGGGTGGATAGCTATCTCTGACCTTAGCAGTAGGTGAAGCGGGGCTGTAAAGGGTTGGTAACAGATAAGAAAATGCTATCTCCCTCTTACAAGAAGTGGGGAAATTACATGTGCAGGCTTAGCGTTTTGCTGGGAAGGAGTCGAGTTCCAGGGTAACATGCTGTAGGTTATTTCCAGTCTCTAAAGAAGCTCACTTTGACAAACAAACTTGCAGTGTGTGCGCAGAAGCACAGGGTGCAGCATCTGCCAGAAGCTGGTTTAGAATATGCGCTCTTCATGCACTGAGGCACTCCAAAATTTGCAGTTTATTTTCCTTTTTTTAAAAAAATCCATCATGTGAAATAACCCTTTCCTCTTTTTACTTGGTTTTTAGTTATTTCTGTTCTGAACTGCAGCATCTCTCTTACACGTGTCCATCTCCTCTGACCGAACTCTTTAATCTTTCATTTAAGTTACATCTGGAACACTGACTGCCGTAATGGGAACAAGGTTTTACAACTCTGGAAAGTTCATGCCTGCAGGGCTGATTGCTGGTGTCAGGTACAACACACTATACTGCTTTGGTTTTGTTGGGGCTTTTTTACTTCCTTAATTCAACTGAGATGGAGTAAATCTTATTTTCTGCGTCTTTTTTGTTTCTCTGCACCTGTTACATGAGAAATATTTGAAAATGAGTTGCTAAGTTATAACTTCTTGTTTAGTTCTGTGAATTTACTGGGTCTTTTTCACCTTATACAGTTTGCTGATGGTGGGAAGATTAGCACTGAAGATGGTGGAGAAGCCCCATGAAAAGTAATTGCTCATTTTACTGCTTATCATCTGCGTGAAGAAACCTGATAATGACACTGTGAACACAGAAGCAAGAAAATGAGGATGGATAGTTATATATGAAGTGCCATTTATTTCAAGAATCTGGTAGAGCTCTTACTGTGCAGTGAGAATTTGGTCCTGGTTGTTTTTTTGAAACACATTTCAATGTATTTTGATACTTTTGATTTTTATATCCCAAAATATACTGATGACATATATGAAGTAGAGTGGATCTGTAATTAGGCAAGCAACCATGCAGTGTCACCAGAAACAACTGGCTGAATACAGCACTGTATCTCATAACTTTTATACCAAGTACTACAGTATGCTTTACCTGCTGTATCCTGAGTTGATATATCATGTCTGTGTAACACCAAACAAATCTTTTTATTGTGAAATGATGCTGAAATGTTGCTTTTCTACAAGTAAAACCTGTTACAAACATTCATATGTTTTTGTGATCCTTTCTGTGTGTATGGGGTATATTTTATTTTTACCTTCTTGTCCTTACCTCAGTCTCTGTAGTGAACCCCTCTATGAGTGTTGTCTTCTGATGCTATTCAAAAATCACTTTTTAAGTGGAAGAGCAGAAGATTAAGTTAGGGGCCTTTGTTAACACACTATCTTTTATTGATCTACAGCCATTGATGTGCTGAATACTTCCACACTGTAACTCATAATCTAAAGTGATATTTTGTGTAGTGACTACTTAAGACTTGACTTTGGGACCTCTATGCCATGAAGGATACCAAACTTTGTCAACAGCATGACATAGGAAAGATACACAACTTAAACGTTACGCAACTACTTCTCATTTTGTAGTGCTGAAAGGAGTATATAACAATTCTCTGGGGAAGTACAGCAAGCTGATTTTAAACTGCTTATTTACTCTCTTTCTTTGGCCACTGCCCAAGATGTATTTCTTGTTCTGAACATTTCATTGAACAGCGTTGAGCCTGAGTGACAATTGCATTGTTTTGGATCAGTGGAAACCCACCTGTAGTAGATTGAGCATTGTTACAGTAGAAAGTAAGAATGAAGGTGGATCTGTAGATGCTGGGCCAATCGTGCAGTGTTTTATTGATTCTCTCAACAAAAGTTATCAAATGAATTCCAGGTTTTCAAGCATATTTCACACTGTGACCTCCCTTGTTTCTGGGCACTTAACCCATAAATAACCCAATCTGCAGGGAGCAATGCTGAAAGCATGTAAAATTATGTCTGAATTCTAGTCTCAGTTAAATCACAGTTCTCTTTTGACTGTGCTGTAAGTAAAACCTAATGGCATTTTGTAATGGCCCTAGAATATTTTTGATCCACTGTATGAAACTGAATGGAAAATGCCATCCCTGCTATGAAATTTTCTTTAGCCATTCAAGAGTAAAATACATTAATACTCTTAAAAGCTGAGTATTTAGGCAGTTCTACACATTCCACTTCCTATTTTATCGTGTAGGTTTTGGTTTTGGTGTTGTATTTTTATTCCACCGAGGGTGGGATCTATATAAACTGAGATTATTCCTTTTGCATTGAGTTCATCCTGAGACCATGCCATGGCTTCAGAGATGCTCCATGCTGTTGCTCAGGTTGTTTCTGAATGTAACATTTTTAAGGAGTGATTTAACTTTTTAAAATTTAATTATTTGCAGGAAATGAATCGTTAAAATAATTAAAGTTATGTTAAAATAATTAAGCTACGGCTAGTCTTTTCAAAGCAGACTCTGAAATTAGAAAGAAGTTAAATATTGCTGATAGTAGATAACATGAAAAAAGCATGGAAAGAGTGCTACTTTTTTAGACCTGGGAAAGGAAAACTACATAGACTGAGTTATCAGACTTAAATCAGAGTTTAGTTGTGCCTCCAGAACTCAATAAATACATCATAGTAATGAAGGAAAAGAGAATTTAGGTAGGCAAATCTTTATTCTGCAGACTGAAAGCCCAAAGGGCTGGCGTCCCATTGAGGGATCTCTTCTGGCTGAGGTAAGTTGCTCACACCTGGGCAGTGCCAGGCATGGATGTGCTGGGAATGTTACAAACCACACAGCTGGCTGGAATGGACATTGTTTTGGGGTCAAAATCTTCAGTGTCTCAACTGTGCTTTACTCTTTACTTATATGGGATAGAGACCTGGAATACAGCAGTGAAGTACTGAGTTCAATGGCAGCAATGAGTTGAGGGGAGCAAGAAGTCCTTTTACTCACCTATCAGTGGATGTCACACCCTAAACTGTTCTTTCAATTCATATGACTTTCATGGCTAGCAAAATCCCTTTCATTTAGTACAAACACATAATGGAGTTTAGGAACATAGGTAAGGTTATGCTGGTAGAACACGTGCCAGTCTTTCAGCGTAGCAGAGGAGAATGAGAGGATGGGAATGTTTCGAGTGAAATGGTTTAGAGGGGAAGTAGTCATGGCCCATTCTACTTTATCCCTCGTTCTAAGAATATAGTCAATGACTGTTTTTAATGCAAAGCATATCCTCTAGCTCTCCTTCTGCTGCAGGCTTTGGAAATGCTATTTGCCACGTCCCAGTTCTGTCAGTCACCGTGCTGGAGCTGCTGGCACTCTGTCATCCCTGGCTGAGGGGCAGTCTGTGCTGAGACTAATATGGCCTGAAGTATTCAGCAATTATCATTGCTGTGGTGGTAAAATTCCTAGCTTCTTGGCAATGCATTCATGCTTTCTGACTGAACAATTTAATCACCTGGAAAAATGAGAGGGGAAAAAAAGGTCAAGAGAACCTCCAGGCAGTGACAGCAGGAGGAGGAAAGTCTTTGTTCCCCCAGAATCCCTACAAGAAAAAAATGGCAAAGCTCTGCATCAATAGTGGCACAGAGACATCCAGATACGTCTCCTCTCCTGCTTCCTTGAAGTGCCACAATGGAGCAGATCAAAGTGCTCAGGCTTTTGTGCTGTATCCCCAGCTCAGTTCACAGGTGACTTTGGATGGTTTTTGTATTCCTGTGCCTTTCTTCTCAGCATGTGAATTGGTGATAATGTTTTCTCTCTCCTCTCCTGCACACTGTTTTCTACATCCCTGATGGTAACAGCACATGGCGTTTCACATTCCCTGCCCCAGGAGCGAGGAGCAGTAAGTTTGATGCCTGCTTATTGCTAGTAACTAACACAGCCTGTCCTTGTTTTAATTTGATCCTCTTTTAAAAAATAGCAAGAAAAAATACAGTAGAGTTATTCTCCTTCTTCTTTCCTATTCATTACATTAAATGTTAGCATTTTATAGAATCATAGAATATTCTGAGTTGGAAGAGATCAAGCCCAACTCCTTTCATAGTACATTAAAATCCCTTCCTGTAAGTACTGTAAGTTGAGTTGAGTTTTAGTATTAATACTTAACATATTTCATTTTCAAAGATGATGCAAGGATTCCAGATTTTGGGAGTGAGATTAGGAGGAGGATGGTTCCTTCTGCGAGCCCAGTGACACAGAAGGGAACAGTGCTTGCTGAAAGCACCACTTCCCCATTGCCTCAGCACGTGGAGATTCTTCCATTCTTTTCCCAGTGTCCGGGAGAGCTCAGTGCTGGTCCCTCCCTTTCTCTCCAAGCAGCCTGCTGGCAGGATCAGCCCCCTGCTTCAGGGGCATTGAGGTACGAACAGCGCTATGACGTGCTGAGCAAAATCCAAAAGCAAGCAGCGTGTTCCCTGCGCTCCTCTGTGATCTGGTCTTGCAAATTCGTGCTGAGTTTTTTTGTTTCTTTGGTCGGTTCCGTGGGTTTCATTTTTTTCTTTGTTATTATTATTCATTTTTAGTTCGGTTAGGGTTCGGTTTTTCGTTTATGCGCGCTGGGGGGCCGGCAGAGGGCGGCAGTGCCCATCCGACGTTCTGCTGGGCGAGGGGCAGGCCGGGATGAGCAGCCCTGAACCGAGCTCCCCTCCCTCTAAAACGGGGTTCCCCCCTCAGCTGTCAGATTTGGATTGCCAAGGCCTCGCTCAGGCCAATCCGAAAGCCCGGCCGCTTCTCCATCGTGACTACGGGGCCCACCAGGAGTGTTACAGCATCCCGCCATTGCTGCTAAGGAGTGCAGAGCTGCACAAAGAACGAATAAAGGCCCCCATCCTCTCCTCCTGTGCCCTCGGAAGGAAATCACTTCCCAAGTGTATCTGAAGCCCAGGTTCTCCCGCACGCACTTTTGCATCAAGAAACAAAATCTGCAGGTTCAGCCAGCCTGAGGAGTTTAGCGCTGCAAATCTCCTTTTTCGAGCACTTATAGGGATTTTTCTCTCTTAAGAAATAGATAAACATTACAGCTTTACAGTATGTAACCAGGGAGAGGATGCTGGATATGTTTCTCTGAAGGTCACACGCTTGCAGCACTGCTGTGGCCATAGGAAATGGCAGCATCTGCTGCTACCTGCAGGCATCCCATAGGTAGGAGAGTCATTGGATGCACTGAAATTCCCCCTGCTGCTCTGCTCCCCAATAAACCCATCCAGAGCTTCCCCCCGGGATGGGCCAGGTGTGTTCCATCAGCATGCAGCACAACTGCCAGCAGGGGAAGGAAACACACAACAGCAGGAGAGAAAATGGATGGAAAGCAGCAGGATTAGAGTAAATGCTTTTGAATTCTGGATGGACATTTCCTTTCGTGGAGGTTCTCGTTAGTCTGTGGGATTATAAAGAGACCTGAAATACTCCAAGGTGAGACTGGTCCACTTACCTAAGAAAGAAAGCCTATAATGGGAGGTAAGGGAAATATTGTGATATGTGATATGTGATATGTGATGGGTGCAAGAACCGAAGGGCCATGACAGAGGGCACAGTGGCAACCCTAAAATCCTCTAAATGTATCATAACCCATCATCTGTGAATATGATCTTCCACGTTCTCCAGCTACTTACACATCCCCAGTGTTTAGCAGTGCATCAGTCACTCCGCCCTAGGAGCCACCAAATATTCCCTATAGTGGATGGTAAAAGGCTACAGGCTTTTCTGAGGCAGAGAAGGCAGCAGCCTGCAATTATTCATTTTTTGGTTAGCTGTTAGCTTGGGAGTGCTGGGAGCGGTGCGTTACAAGAAGACAGAAAACAGCCACAGACTGTGTTAGATATGTTTGAGTCACAGAATGAAACCCACAAGACTCCCTGTGGGATCTAAGCTTATCGCAGAAGTGCTCCTCACAGATGAGTGTGACACCCACTGTTGTCACCTACAGACACTCAGAATTCCTTAGATAGCATTCTCTGTAAGGACAGAGCAAAAGATCTGCTAAAAGAAGATGTTACAAACACTCAGATCCTTCCTTGTCAGCCTTAAACAGGGTGCAATGTGTGTGTTAGCAATACAGCAGGAAGAAGGAGAGTTAGATATTTAAATGGCCACGTTAAGTCACGTCTTATCAGTGCTATTTATTTATTTATTTTTTCTTTCCTTTTTTTCTTTCCACAGGAGCAGTAAGTGCAGACAGACAAAGAAGAGATTTGGA